CAACTGCACGAATTTGGCGGATTGCGACATTCTGAAAACCCAAGACTCCAAAGCTCCAAAAACTTATGGGTGCTCTTGAGTGTTCCTGGGGTATGTCGCGTCGGCTTCCAGGGCGGTGAACCCGCCCAAAACGGCCCGACAAACCTGCAAGAGTCCCCCACAAACGGCAAAAACGGCCCTGGAGAGCACCGAGACGGCCCGCGAGGGCCGAAAGACAACCCACGATGGACCCGAGACGGCCCGAGAGACCCCCAACACCTAGGTCATCTAACGTCGCGCATCGAGCCCAGGGCCCAGACAGATCCAAAGAGGGGCACACGAGGGGGACACGAACTGATATTTCGAGCCCCCCCGCCCCAAGATGACCACCGAAACCGTCATTAGGCCCCCAAGAGGCCCCCAGGAGGCCCCAGGAAGTCCCCCAAGACGTCCAAAGATGCCCAAAGGCCCGCATGGGCATCATAACATGCGTCCGCGATCCAAGGCATGGTGGCGGGATGGGCCGACGGCCATGCGATACTTTTGGAACGCGACAGCGAGCGCGACGCGTGGGAGTTGTCTTAGAGAGAAGGATGCGCGTATGAGGACGAGGAGGGGGATGATGATGATGATGATGATGATGATGATGATGATGATGATGATGATGATGATGATGATGATGATGATGATGATGATGATGATGATGATGATGATGATGATGATGCTGATGCTGATGCTGATGCTGATGATGATGATGATGTTGCTGATGACGAGGGGGAGGAGGAGGAGGAGGAGGAGGAGGAGGAGGAGGAGGAGGAGGAGGGGAGGAGGAGGTGGAAGAGAAGGAGGAGGAGGAGAAGGAGCATATCGGAGAGCCCACCCAAGGTGCGACAACAACCGCAGGCGCGAGCCTCACCGCGAACAGGTAGAAAATGGAGGCGCTCGCAGGAGCGCGGATCGGCATGGGCGTCTCGCGCAAGCACAGCGCCGCCGACCCTGAGATGAGCGTCAGTCCGACGAGCCAGAATCGAAGCCGCCCTGTGACGGGTCTTGCTCGCAGAGGAAGATTGAAGGGAAACTGGAACACACAAATAAATACACACAAATAAAAAGATCGCCCATATTTTCCCATATTTTTCTGGGTTTTTGTCTTCCCCCCACTTCCCATATTTTCCAATATTTTCGGAGAAATCGACGATTAATTGTGTCTGTGTGTTTTGTCCCCTCCTGAAAGATCTCCAGCCTCGCCCCCTGCAACGCCGCTCGGGCGCCTGCCGCGCGCTGCGAGGACGATGGGGATCTCCCGCGCGCGCCCGAGGGCCGCCCTCCTCCGCCCCCCCCGTCGGGGGCGCCGCACGCGGTGGCGACTCCGAGGCCCGGGGGCGACGGGAGAGGCGTCGCAGCGGAGGGGCGCGCGCTGGAGGGGAAGGAGGAGGAGGAGGAGGAGGAGGAGGAGGAGGAGGAGGAGGAGGAGGAGGCGGAGGGCGCGGAGGCGTCGCCCACCCCCACGGCGCGAGCCGCGTCCGCCGTGGGGCCCAGGCGAGCGTCGGGAGCATCGGGGTGGTGCGGAGCAGCCCGAGGAGCAGCTGCGCCCCGAGGAGGCGCTCCCGACGCGCTGGCACCTGTCTCGGGGCAGCCCCGGCACAAGACCCAATCGTCCGTCTCCGCGCGGGGCCCGTCGTCTCCGCCGAGAGCCGCTCGCGCGGTCGCCATCGCGACCGTCGGGAAGGTCTCGTCATCGCAGCCGGGGGCCAGCGTGCTGTTCTTGAAGCGGAGAAGCGCCCGCACGGACGGCACGACAGGGTCGGCCTGCTTACCTTGCCCGCGCTCCCCGCGCAGCGCGTGACCTCCCAGGTCGTGCGGCTGCTCCGCCACCTTCCCGTCCTCGTCCTCGGGCACGGGCACGTCGGGCGCGCGGGTCGCGCTCGCCCATCAGCTGCGCGTCCGAGCCGTCGTGGGGGCGACGACCAGCACCAGCAGCACCACGAGGAAGCACACCAGCATCCGGACGACCATCGGCGTCGTCGCCATCCGCCTGGCGGGACTCGCTGAGCGTGCCACGCAGCGTTCCTGCGGTGGCGGCGGGAGCCAGGGACAGCGCGCCCTTGGGCAAGCAGCACCAGCGCCGGCCTCGCCGCCAGCTCGCGGTCCTTCCAGGAACCAGGATCGCCGCGAGCCTGCGCGAGGGGCTGGATGGCAGCCTCGCAGGCGGCTCGGCGCCGCTCTCGCCGCATGACGGGCAGGGGTGGCGCCGAGCGCGGCGATGTCGCGCCACGTGGACTCCGAAGGCCGCTAAGCTCTGGGGCCGCCCCCGTCGCAATTCCCGTCGAGTTCAAAGCCCCGCTCCCCCCTCCCTCACGCCCGCCGCCTTGCCCCATGAATCTGGGGTCGCAAGGTATGCAGAGGAAGAGTCCAGGAGCGGGGGGCCTACTGAAAAACCTGAGCCAAAATGGCTATGCAGGAGGAGAAGGAGGAGGAGGAGGAGGAGGAGGAGGAGGAGGAAAAGAGGAGGAGCAGGGGGAGGAGGAGGAGAAGAAGCAGGAGGAGGAGGAGGAGGAGGAGGAGGAGGAGGAGGAGGAGGAGGAGGAGGAGTGCACGCTTCCGATGTGTCTCTGCCTATATAGTCTGAGGGCGGATCAGGAGGAGGAGGCGACGTAGGCGACACTCAGGGCACCCGCCGCCACAATGCTGGCGTTCTTCACAATGAGGCCCTAAGGCCCTTGTCCTGCGAGGGGCTGTCGGCGCACATCGCCGCGCTGTCGAAGCTCTGCTCGCGCATGCTGGCTGCGATTGCCTCGAGGTCCGCAGTGTCAAGCGCGAGCGAACAAGAAGACCGGGGGACAAGCTCCGTCAACAGGAGTGTCCTGCAGACCGGCTCCAGCAAGACGACGATCTCCTCCAGGGTGGCGATGCCGTTCGGGCCCCGCAGCACGATGGCCAGGAACGTCGACGCCCGCATGTGGACCAACACAAGCATTGATATCAGGAAGGCCAACTCCAGCAGCGTCAGGATCGCGACGACTGAATGCATCAGTGAGCACAAAGAATTCCGTGTGTGCAAATGTGGAGAACGCGGCAAGGTCTACAGCGTCAAACGAGCTGCACGGCGCAGCGTGCAGGCCAGGAACGACCCCACATAACGGCGATGCTCATCACGGAGATCAGGAACACCGACCCTCGCAGGGGGCCAGTTCCATCAGCATGAGCTCCCAGAGGCACGACTCCAGCAGGAAGATCGACTCCACCAGAAGGGATAGAATGGCCGACTTCCGCCGCAAGATGTCCAGGACCAGGAACACGGATTCCAGCATCAGCATGATCGAGAAGATCAGCTTCCCTCTGAAGGGCAGGACGGCCATCGCCAACATCGCGATGTTCGGGGAGACCACGACCCGCGTGGAGGACGACTCCAACATGAAGATCAGAATGGCCGAATCCATCAGCACGAGGATCGGGAAGACCAGCACGATGAACGGCACCAACAACCCGGATAACAACTCTGAAACCTCCTTAATGCTCTGCACCAACAAACACTTCGAGGCTCCATGAACCAGATGCGACTCTTGATCGTGCCATCCGTGTACCTGCGGCCTTTGTCCACCGATGAGAGAACAGGTGCCATGCCGAGGATGTAGCAGAGCTGGTCGTAGCAATTCTTCGCCAGGAGCGAACACATCTGCGAAACCGTGGGACGGACGAGGATCTTGCTCTTGAGCTTGCCCACGGCAGCGTTCGGGAGGAAGGCCACAGCGGCTGGAAAGCCAGCATGAAGCCGTTCAAGTAAAACAACAATCCGAACTTCATCAACCATGCGCAGGAAGGCGGCAGCACCTACAAAGCCATCGACCCCAGGCAACTTGAGAAATGGGCTTAAGCCAAAATGACTACGGAAGGAGGAGGAGGAGGAGGAGGAGGAGGAGGAGGAGGAGGAGGAGGAGGAGGAGGAGGA